GATGTTGGCTGTTCATCACAGGGACAGAAATTTTGCCCAAGTTTCACCATTACATTAAAAAATCTATCTTAATGGGATCCTTTTGACAAGTTTCAGATGAAGCTTAATCAGAATAATAATTCACTCATTCATTTAATAAAACTTTATTGAACATGCATCATAAACCGACCAGTCACCTTCATGGGTTCTTGAAATTAAAAACAAAACAAAATTGTGTTTTGTGACTTATCTAGAATATCTCAGAGGCAATCTATGCAAAAATAATTAAACCATAGTGAGCTATAGGAAGCTGTTGATGAAATATTGTTTAAGCTGTTGTTCATTGGGTCAGGGACTGAGTTTATGAAATGGAGGTGTTAAAACTCTAGATGGGCCGAGTTTACCTCCTGGCTTCTCTACATTCTAGATGTGTGACTTTGGCTATGTTGTTAAATTCAACAGTAAAACTAAATTAATAATGTCTACCTTATCAGATTCTGTGAGGAATAAATTCAATAATGGAGGGAAAGTGATTGGTACAGTGCCTGGAAGAGTAAATGTTCACAAATAGTAAGCTAAAATTATTATTGTTCCCAAAGAGGGGACAGAATGTATAAAGGTGTAAAATATGTTTGCAGCAGTTTAGGCTATAAATGAAGGAGTAGCAGGAAGTAAAAATGGGCAAGGGTGTAAGAAGTCATGTGCCATGATATGAGGCTGTTCAGTTCATCAACCCTGGAACTGCCTTACTGTTTGATATCATTAATATGAGATAATGTCCATGTTGGTTAATAAACTTTTAGATTGTTTTATTATGTACTAGTGGCCCGGCGCACAAAATTCATGCACAGACAGGGTGGGTTCCCTCAGCCCAGCCTGCACCCTCTCCAATCGGGGACTGCTTGGTGGATGTCTGACTGCTGGTTTAGGCTCAATCCCTCTCACAATCCAGGACTGCTGGGGATCGAGCCCACAACCTAGACCTGTGCCCTTGACTGGAATTGAACCCAGGACCTTTTAGTCTGCAGACTGACATTCTATCCACTGAGCCAAACTAGCTGGGGCTAGTTATTGTAAGTTTTAATTTTTTTATACCACCCCTTTAACATCTTCGAGAACAAGAATAAAAAATTACGTGTCAACTGCAATCACAGCTCCACTCCCTGAACTTTTTTCTTTTTTTAAGATGTTTTTAATTTTTTTATTACAGTTGAACTACAATATTATATTAGTGTCATGTGTACAACATAGTGATTAGACATTTAAACAACTTACAAAGTGATTACCCTGATAAGTCTAGTTCCCATCTGAAACCAAATATAGTTATTACAATATTATTGACTATATTTCTTATGCTGTACTATACATTCCTATGACTGTTTTCATAAGGTAATTTGCATACTTTAATTTCTTCTCATTTTTTACCCATCCTCTCAAGCCCCCTCCCATATGGCAACCACCAAAATATTCTCTGTATCTATGAGCTTGTTTCCATTTTGTTTGTTCATTTATTTTATGTTTTAGATTCCACATATAAGTGAAATTGTATGGCATTTGTCTTTTTACTAGTACTGCAGCATAGTATTCCATTGTGTAGATGTACCATAGTTTTCTAATCCATTCATCTGCTAATGGGCACTTAAGTTGTTTCTGAATCTTAGCTATTGTAAATTCCTTGCTCTCTCTCTTCTCCTCCTGGTACCTCTATGATGCAGATGTTGGAATACTTGATGTAGTCCCAGAGGCCCTCTAAATTACCCTCATTTTTCTTTTTTTTTTTCTTTTTGCTGTTATGACTCGGTATTTTCTGTGACATTCTCTTCCAAATCAATGATACAACCCTCTGCTTCATCTAATCTATTCTTGATTCTCCCTAATGTACTCTCTCTCTTTTTTAAGGTTGCTCTGGGAGCAAGGTCCCACCCTACATTGTGTCCTTTGCTAGGCACCCAGGCTTTCCACCCTGATGACCGTCTATACAAAGCCCATTGTCCTCACTTTGCTCAAGTCTGTCTAACTGCCTACCACATACCCCCTCAAAGATCTTGGCTTTGAATTCTTTCAGAGAAAAAAGGCACAAGGTCTCTTCTGTTGCTGCTTCATACTGAAGAGGGATGAAGTTTTCCTCTATAGCTGAAAGACCTATGCTCTCTGTCAGTAAGATGATGAGGCCTAGGCATGGAAGGAGGTGGTGATGGTATCTAGAGGTGGTTTTCCCTGAGTAGGAGTAGGGCTTGTAACATTGATCAGCTGCCTCCTGTGTGTGCCATACTGGGGATGGAGCCTGCAACCATAGCATGTGGCCTAACCTGGAATTGAACCATGACCTCCTGATTCATATATCCACGCTAATAAGTTCATGCTCAACAACTGAGTCACACCTGCTGATCTAATGTACAATTTATTTTATTTATTTTTTTTAAATTTTTTATTACAAAGGGTATTACATATGTGTCCATTCCTCCCACCCCCCACCCTAGACAGTCCCCTAGCCTCCCCTATCCCCCAGTGTCTTATGTCCATTGGTTATGCTTATATGCATGCATAAAAGTCCTTTGGTTGATCTCTTACCCCCCTATCTCCCGCCCCCGAACCCTCCCCGGCCTTCCCGATGCAGTTTGACACTCTGTTTGAGGCAGCTCTGCCTCTGTATCTATTATTGTTCAAAAGTTTTTAATGGTCTCAATTATCCATGAATAAGTGAGATCATGTGGTATTTTTCTTTCATTGACTGGCTTATTTCACTTAGCATAATACTCTCCAGTTCCATCCATGCCGTTGCAAATGGTAAGAGCTCCTTCCTTTTTACAGCAGCATAGTATTCCATTGTGTAGATGTACCACAGTTTTCTAATCCATT